TAGTTTTATCCAAGTTTAATGACAATGTGTTTTGTTGAAACCAATTTTGTACTTTCTCAAATTCTTTCTGTACCATCTCAAACATTTTTTTCTCTATCTATTCCTAAACAAAAAAATGTTGTATCGTCAGCAAGTAAAACATTTGAAAAGTCCTGACACATTTACTAAGTCATTCACATATAAAATAAATAACTTAGGTCCCAGTACAGAGCCCTGAGGGACAACATTTCCAAAGGTTGTTTTAACTTCTTTTATAATGTTAATACATCCAAAGTGTTTTCTGCATTTTTCAATAAAATTTGCCCAACGAAGCGACACGATATAAGGAAATATAAATAACGCATGTCAGTCAGAAATGCACACATTCAATGAGAACACCAGCTGAATTCTGCACACTGGAAAGGATCATCCTCTCTTCATGCTGGACAGGTCAAGTCCTGCTGAGAGCTTGGTGCTGGAATTGTTGCAATATTTATACAATTCTGCAGCTCCGAATAAGTCAACAAATACGCATCAGCAACGGAGAGGATCTGAAAGTTTCTTTAGGGAGCAGAAAAAATAAGTCACTATATACTGATTGCTCTGTCTCTCAGTATAGATAATAAAAAAAAAAGTATGTTTTTTGTGAAGTTACAAACATCACCACAAGGTGGCAGTGTTGAACCACAGGATTAATTTGTAGTTTTTAACTGAAAAATCGCTCCAAAGTGAAATGAAATAAAATACCTGTTACATGTCTCATGTCTACTGAACACAAGAATCTCATTTAAACAAAAAACCATATCTGGAGGAACCATGGGTCTGAGGACCGTGGGTTCACGTCTGACTAAAACCTAATCCTCTGATAGTCACCAAAGTTTCTGCTGCTGGACTGATGCTGTTCATTAAAAACAATTAAATAAACATTATAAGGAAAAAAGCACTATCTTACAGAGCCAAACAAATCAAGCTTACACGAAAATATTGTTGTTTTTTTTATTCAAAGTCACATACAAAAGGATTTATTCATAATAGGCTGCTATAAAATGTTTATATATACACATCGTTTTATACAGATCAACACCGCTCAGAACTGAATGACATTTTAAATCTACAGGATAACAGATAACATTCAGACTTTATTACACGGCTTTAAAAGCACAACAAACGGGAACAGATGTTTCACACTGTACGGGTCAAAATCTACACATCTGCTTCTGGTCAGATTATAAAAAGACACCTGTGTTGTTCCATTTGGATGCATAGCTTTGAGCACAGTTCTTCCAGGGCTCACTGCGGTTTTCTTGTTCAGGCACCAGAAGAGCAAAAAACAAACAAACAAAAAAAAAAAACATGAAAAACAAGCATCTAAACCTCTGCTCAACATCCAAGATTTTTCTGAAGTAAATGTTTGTGTTGCTCCACAGCTGAATCTGGGAGAGAACTGTGACAAGAAATCAACTGTGTCCAGTTTAATGACGCGTTATATTAATGCTGTTAATAAAAGGCTACATTTTTTTTATCATGATTGTACTTCTGCTTGTTAAGATCCAGCCTCCCATTTTATATAACCTACATTCATCAGGCAGGAGAAAGAAAACAATGGTGGCTGGGAGAAAACTGTCCGAAACAATTCTGCTTAAAATCACCAGCAAACAAACTGATTCACATTTTAATAATAATTTWAAAAAATTAGCGTCTGGGTACACAGAAATATGTGTAAAAAATCTTTATCTTAAGCAACTTTTTGTTTTCTTGTACCTTCAGAGGTTAATCATATGATCTAAAGCCATTTGACTGGATTGATATCAGTCAGAATCATCTTTATTTTTGATGTTTTTATGTACAAGCTTACATTTTATATGAATTTTAAAATCTGAATATTTTAAATTTAGCATTTTATTTGGAATTTAGAGCAAAAACACACAGGAGACACTTTAAATGCCCGAAAAAGTACAAAAATATCAAGAAATCGTATTATTTTTGCTTCACAACTATTTTCRTATTTGCACATTTAATATTACCAGCTGTCTGCCAAAGATGACGGCAGGTGATCACATTTTTGCCTGCTTGGTCTGCTAACAAAACATCTTATAAAAGACCAATTTAAACTCAACTAAATGTTAAGCAGTTGTAAAGGTTTAGAGTTAAACCAATGGTGATAACTCAGTCAATTTCACAGATATTCAGCTAGAATTTGATGTGGTTTGATTTGTAACRTTCATTTTAAGATTTGACCAAAACGTCTCACGTTGCTGCTCGTCATTTAAACCCATGATTTAGATCAGTGACATCTCACTGCATTATCCTCTAATAAAATATGAAGCTGGGACTGGGAGTGTCGCTGGTTATTTCTGCAAAAAAATCAAACAAATTTGTGATGAACCCAGTGAGTGTTTTCTTCTAATTCACACACAAAAAAAAAAAAGACAAGGAAACAGTCAAAGTGGCRCCAACCAGCATTTGGACGGCACACAACCAACAGCAACTGAGAGGATCTGAAAGTTTCTTCAGGGAGTAGAAAAATATAGATTTTTTTTTCTCCTTTTTTTCACGTACCAGCAAAGCTGATTTTATAAGGTAGAAACTCTGCGTTCCACCCGGTGAGCTCACAAAGCTTTTTTTTTGTGTGTCTGACTCCTGAATCGTTTTTCTAGTGCAATAAGAAAGTAGAAAAAGAGATTTAAATGCTGGTTATGGAGGGTTTTGTTAATCTAGAAATTCAACAAGCATTAAACGGAACGCGCTTTAAAGAAAGCTCCATTTAGCTGAACAAACTGCAAAACAAAATGTTGTCCGTGAGAGGATTTTTCTTCTTTTGAAGCAGATTTTCTTTTTGTTTAGACTGAGTCGTGAAAAAAAGGGTCAAAAATAAACTTGCCTTAGTGGAGAACTAAAGACTAAAAAAGCTCCAATGTAAGTGCTCTTTAAGGAGAACCACGAGCTCTCTTCAAGGCCTTAATATTGTTTGAGATTTCAAGTGTTCCAGAATCATTCTTCCACACTGAAGCTCCTCTCACCCTGAACGCTTTCACATCATTTCATGGTAATATTTCCTTGGCAAAACATCATCTTTTGACCCTGAAAGTTCTATTTTGCAAAGGCCAAGCACAAAAAAACCCCCACAAAACCTCTTACAATTGAATAACTTCAACACAAAGATCTGCTTTTAAAGATTAAAAAAATATTAAATAAATAAAAAGAAGAAGAAATGATGTTGGGTGATATATTCCTGTGTAAAGATGCTAAATAAACCAGTAACAAGTTTTCTTTGTGTGCTTTTTTTCCCCTCAGAAACCACAGCTCTCTTCATATAAAACAACAAAAACCTCAATGAATCCACAACCCTGAAAATGTCTCTGGTTCACTGAACGTCAGGCGGGAGAGGAGCTGCTGCATTCACACACATTTTACAAAAATATAAAATGCAGCAGACGGTTAGTGAATCAATAAATGTTTGAATAATAAATATTGATTTGAATCAGAATACACAGCTCTGAAGGATCCCACCTTTCTTGTAATAGGTGTGAATGCAGCACTGATCTCCTTGTTCACATAAACCTATGATTGTGCAGTTTGGGGGTGGGGGGGGGGTGTCCTGCGTGGCTCCCTCTAGTGGTGCTGAGGCAGCGGGTCATGGCTGTGGCTCCTCTGTATGTAAGCTATAGCCTCTCTGTATGTAAGGGCCAGCTGGGGCCGGTCATACATCTCACTCAGAGCCTGAAACTTGGGCCCCCACTGAGACAGTCTGTCATAAACAAAACGCCCGTCATCCTCCTCCTCCTCGTCCTCGTTGCTCGTACTCATTTTCCTGCAGGACACCGCCGACCCCAGGGAGCTGAGGCTCCCCGCAGAGGACCCGGAACCTTCCACGTACCAGACGTGGTAGGCGTCCAGCGGGAACGCGTCGCCGTCGTTGTCCGCCTCCCAAATGATGCGCGCCACGTAGCTTTTAAAGTCCACGTGGGAGCGCGAGCCGGACAGGGCGTCCGCGCAGCTGCCCGCGTCGCTCGTCTCCGCGTCCCGGCCCGCGTGGGGCGTGAAGTTGGCGTAGGTGGCGTCGCCGCTGTAGCCCGCACCGACTGCGTGCTGCTGCTGCTGGTGGTGGTGGTGGGGGTGGTGGGGGTGTGGGATGCTGAGGTAGGGAGCGCCGGAGCTGCAGGAGGAACTGGACGGATGGACTTCCTCCTGGGAGCCCGGCGAGGACTTGATGAGCGGCGCCGTGGTGCAGGAGGACGACTGGGACAGACTGGAGCACAGCGGACGCTTCAGCTCGGTGATGTCATAACCGTTCTGAAAGGGATGGAGGAAACAAGGAACACCTTCACTCAAACAAAAATACCGGTACTTCATTCAACTGGATCCTTACTGTAACTGTATTTATTATTGATCCCTTGGGATCAATAAAGTATCATCATTCATTAAAACAAAAATAATCTAARAAACAAAATACATCAAAACCTAAATGAAACGGTAACGAGATAAGAGAAATTCTTATCATGTCTGCCCCTTATTTAAAGGGATCCACGATTAGTTGTAACATTAAACTTTGCTTGATAAACATTTATTTTAACTGTAAAATAAMGACTGTAAAAATACTGTAGGCTGTTTAGTTTTGTA